GGGCGGTAAGCCGGCCTAAGACAACGATTTTTAATAATTAATTACTCGTTAACTATTACGAAAATTGCAAAATGGTAGAGGACTTTTCCGTTCATCTCGATCCGTTCTACCTTCTCAAAAATTTTGTCGGATATGGAAAGACTCACCCTGTATAATAAAGGCCCAATCTCTTAAATTTTACTTCTGTATTTATTTTATATTTATACTTATACATTTTACATTTTTCAGCTCGATGGGAAAAAGGCGGAAGGGGACAGCGAGGCAGGGGACAGCGAGGCAGAGGACAGCGAGGCAGAGGACAGAGGACGAGGACGCGGCCAAGGACGCGAATTTGCATATTGGACAGGAAACGTCAATTTTTATTGCCAGTGAATAGTTACATCAGTTTCGAGATTTTTCGTATTCAAAATAAGATTTTGTATAATTAACTGACAGATATACGTTGTAATCAGATACACAATTTTGTAATTGGTAATAAAGCTTCATAACAATAAACTTTGTATCTTGTCACATCTCATTTCAATATCCCATTTTTTTATATTTACCTGTAAAGAAAGTTTAGAATAAATTCAAGAGCGGAAAACGACGCGAGAGATGAAACCTCGCGGACAGATACAATTGCTTGAATACCATTTAGGGGACAGCGAGGCAGGGAACAGAGAGGACGAGGACGCGGCCAAGGACGCTGATTTGCATATTGGACAGGAAATGTAAATTTTTATTGCCAGTAAATTGTAAGATTTCGTATTAACTGGCAGATATACGTTGTAATGAGTTTTGCACTTGCTAATAAGGCTTGATAACGATAAACTTTGTATCTTGTCACATCCCATTTCAATATCCCATTTATGTTTACCTGAAAAGAAAGTTTAGAATAGTGTTAATAGTCTTGACATTTATACTCATAAAAAGTGACATTTACAGCTTTCCGTCGATAATAATTAAAAGTATGAAAAAGAGAGTAAAAGAACATGGAAAAGGGAAAGACAAAGAAGAACTATGTTACAATATTTGCAATTATTAAGTATATACCGTTGTGTTTGGAAGATTGTTTCTCTTTAAAATTCTATGAAGCTCACTTAAGGCTACCACCCATTTTGTTTTTTCACTCTCCGTATCCGCCAACATTAATGTATGATTTCTCAATCCAGGAGGCTCCAATAACGACGTAGTTATCTGAAGAAAAAAGTAAGACAATTTGTGCCATTTCCAAGCAAAAAAGAAATACAATATACAATAGAGGAAGAGTCTACTGTGGCCGGACGATAAAAATTTGGCATTACCCTAAATATACACGGAATGTCCTTCTTTGTAGCGTGTATTACGTCAGAATCGCGAACGGAGCTGACGCTGAATTCTTCATCTCTCATATCGAGAACTTGCGAAACATACACAGACGGCAAGGCATTGCGATCTTGCGAGATGTATAGAAATAATTTAAAGTCTCAAACTACGACGAATTGACGCACCCAACCCTTCTTGACACCACCCATTTTTGGCATGTGACGGAGGCGACAGGGGAGGCGCGGCCGGTAGAAAGAGACCGCACTACCAGCTGCGAGTGAAAAATCGATAGCGGCGCGGTTGCCACGTCGACGGTAGCCGGCAACGCCGCGCCTGCCCCCGCCGCCTCTACCCGCGCGCCCACATCCGGGGAGTATAAAAGCCCCTCCGGAGCAGGCGCTTTAACTCAGTCATACCTCGGAGCACCGAGCGACGACACCGGGCAGTGGGTGCCTCCACTGCAGGTATACGCCGGAGTGAATGGGTGCTCCTGTCTTCGGCTATATACCATCCCGGAGCGCACGACAACGGAGGCGCTACTCCGTCGTGTGCCCCGACCCGCAGTAACGTACACCTAACGGGGTGATCCTCGGTGTACACACGTTACATTTTTCCTGTACCGGTCTCCTGTATCCGTCCTGGCTCCGTTCCCCCCGTAATAACGGGTACCTCCGTGTTTCGAGGGGACGGAGTATTTCCACAGTAGCGTACACCTAACGGGGTGCTTCCCGGTGTACTAATACTACTGAAATTCACGCATAACGAGGCGCAGCTCGGGCGTGTTCCTGACCTGACCTGATTCCCTTTCCTGATTCCTGACCGGTGTAGAGCTTAGGGGGGAATTATTCGGGTGGGAAAAATATTTTTCATTAGCTCTAGTGTTAAGCTCCGTAAAAGTAATCCCGTTACTTTCTCCTTACAGACCAGAGGATTCCATACAGACATCCTTCCTGTTTGTTTCCGGCACGTTGCCAGTATATTATCCGTATCATAGTGTCCAGTTTAGATTATCCAGTCATTATATTATCCGTATCATATTATCCGGTTGCGTACCTTATTATTAATATTAATAATCACATATTCCTGTACTCCGAGCCAATGCGTACCTTCTGTACACTATCATAAATCCGAATAATCACCTTAATGTTTCTGTATCTCGATTCCCGTTGCGTACTCTCTGTACATCGATATAATCCGATTAATCCATTTCTTTTTCTTGTATTTAATCACAGGGCGGACCCATTGTATCACTAATCCTTTCTTTTTCTCCTATGTATTTACTCACAGGGCGGACCCATTGTAAACACCTTGATCCTTTGTATCAATCCTCGAATAAACCTCGTTCCTATCGTTTTCTACCAAATTAGATATTTGTCCGATTTATTTCCGATCCTTCCAAGCGATTACCTCACTGAGCGATTAAGATCTTTTCCTCCTTTCCTCCCGACAGCCCTGGAGCTGAGCATATTCGGCAAATAGGAGGAACGGAGGATTTATTTTGCCGACACAGCACGTCAATACCGGAAACTAGAACGCCAACTCTTCCAACCGTTAGTCGGAACCGCGCGTCTGACTAATTTCCGTATTTATTCACGTAATAAATAAAAATAATTAGAAAAAA